TATATATATATATATAAAAGAGAACAATATCATGCCACTTATGCATGAGTGCAATGGTTCCATTTCGTAAATTCATATCGTATGTCAGCAACCATGTGATACATTGTCTGAAATAATACGATGCAGCCATAATTTACGAAATAAACCTATTTTATATATTAGCAGAAGTATAGTAAATATATTTGAAAAAAATCGTCATTTCAATATCAAAGTATTAAGAATATCAAGAGTGGGTTGCGCAATTTCCAAACTTCTTCACGGAGAGTGTAGAGAGAAATCGATATGTAATGTTTGCCATGTTTACTATTTCTTCATAGCTTTTGTTATAAAGTATATTACGATTAATGAATAATTTATATATAAATAATATAAGTAATTTTGGGAGATAGATTATTTTGGTCAATTTTATGTTTTATCTGTGAATTATTATAGCTTTTTATTTCAAACACAGATTGAATGTAATGTATAGCTTTTTATTATGAATATATTACGTTTTAAAACAAATGTATTTTAGCAATATTAAAATAAAATGCTATTATAATCAGCATTGACGTTATCACAATGTGACGACACAATGTGGACAAATGAGTTATATAATACGAAAACTTGGCAATATATATGTGTATATCCATTTTCGAGTTTATCATTATATGTATAGAGAGATACTATGCTATTATTATTAGTTCAATGATGAATTAAACAAGTATGAATAAAAATTTAATCATATTTTAATTTTGTTTGAATGGAATTGAAGGTGATGGCCAAAGTGTAATTTCATCTTTTTAATGTATAAAGAAAATGAATATCACTTTCTCAATAAAGTTATTACAAAGAAGAGATATCGGAATGTTTCAGTGTTATACTAAAAAGTAAAATGGTCCTCTAAATCTCTGCCTTCCTAATCCTATTAATGTTGTATTTATTTACCTACATTTAATATACATGTATACTGCTTTTTCAATTCATTTCTTATTTACTTTTACTAGAAATATATTATATATATATAAATATAATATATAAATATTATATATATGTAATTGTACTGTTATTTGACATTTTTAATTATTTCTAAGAAAAGTAAATGAGAAATGAATTGGAGCAGCAATGCGTCATCGATCGTTGCACTTTTGAATACACCGCCATAACAGGACCAGCAACATAGCATTTGACGATACCGCAGCAGAACCACGGATGCAATCCATTTGGCGTTACAAATGTTCGAAGCATTCAATTGACCAATCAGAACGAAAAATTTCCTCATTTTGATTGGTCGATCGAACGATCGAGAGCATTCGTAATGTTAAGTGGAGCGCATCGTACAAACGATAGTTGACAGTTGGCAATAGCGTCCACGAACGGGAATCGTGCGAGCGACAGCACGGACGGCACGTTGAGGATAATCGACATACACTGACGGTCGAGATCGACTGAGCGAGGATCTGTGTTTGAGTGGATTTTGTGTTGTGCGAAAAAAAAGGTGTCACCGTGGGACTTGCGGCGTCGAGGGTACGTATACACACAATACGACGATATACACGAAAACGAGTGGGGAAAAAAAACGAGAGCGCGGGTCATGCGAGACGATTCTCAAATATTGTTGTTGCCCGTCGATCGCGAACGAGGACCTTCGTCAGTTTAGCCGTAGACTGCTTCGCGTATGTGCTTAACTGTTGTCGACTACGAGATCTATCCGAATTCACAATCGCGCAATCATGTTCCGCACAAAATGGTAACGTTTCTTTCCTCCTCGTTTGGCTTTACAATCGTCTATTAATTCATCAATCGTTGAAAAATGCATTTGACATTTACGTCCGCGTTTCGCTCCACAATTGACGGATGTATCTTAGAAAGATTAATCTCTGTTTTCAGCAAGGAGCACGATCACTCGTCCTTTTACAAGTTCTTACAAATGGAGCACAACCATAAGAATCTGGACTGCTACTTCTTCTACTATTCTACGTGCAAAAAGGTGAGCGAATCTCCCTCGAGATAATCTTTTCTCGAGTTGAACTGCATCGCCCTCGACGCACCCCGGTTTAACATTAATTCGGAAAAATTTTTTCATATCGTTCCATATTGCTCGCGATCTGTCGGGCTCGCCGAGGTTAGGTCGGCCATTTTGATGCCATGTTGATAAGATTTTTTCTCACACGATATCGTAAAAATTCAAAAAAAAGAAATATAAATCGTATAAAATTTAATTACTTATTATTAAAACTTGGTTAAATTCTAGAGGGACGCTGATTTTTCCATTTATTTATTTATTTACACATGATATAGAGACTTTTTATCGTTTTTTTATCGTATTAAAATTTTATTTATTGCGTAAATATTTTGTCGAATATAGATACATGATTTTTGAAAAACATACTATTGATCACATTGTGTGTGCATGGTTATTTTATCATCCTCTTATTTTATTTTAATATCTGGTTTAGTTAATGATTGAATCATAATTTAAAATATCTTATAATATCTACATACATTTCTAAGTCATATATAAATGATTATAAGTAAGTAATAAATGAATGATTATATATTTACGATGCCTTAGATATTTGGTAATTTCACTTGCAGTATTGATGACATGATTTGGCACTGCAAGTGTTTGTAGTTATTCTTGTTAGGTTATTTTAACTGAACTATTATTGAATAATTTTTATATTTGATTATTATTTTTTTTTTTATTCTTACAGGGCGACTTTTGCCCATATAGACATGAACCATCTGCTCTAGGTTGTGAAACTACGTGCACATATTGGCAACAAGGAAATTGCCTTAATGAGCACTGTAACTTCAGACACATGGAATTAAAGGTAATTATCTTTACTAGATAAGCTTACACTTGATCATTTGTTAAATAAATAATTCGATTTAGTTTGTAATCTTAATGTCTGTAAGAAATGAACAAAAGCTAAAAAATATATTTTAAACATTTTTTTAATTGATTAAGGTCTTCAGGATATTCTATTGTTAAAATATCGATAGAGTCAAAATGACCCATATGTGGCCATTACGGGTTAAGTATCACAAAAGGTGCCATTAAGTCTTGATAAGATTTTTTAAATATTTATATATATTTTGCACAATTATTATATACTATTATATACTATATTATTTTCTCCTTCTCTAAAATATAAATCTGTGGAGTTTAATATATATAAATTAACACGTAGCAGTTTTATTATATTATTTCTTTTAAATAATTATCGAAATAAATAAACAATCAATGTTTGATTTAAGACAAAATAGTTTGCATATCATAATGATATTTAATCATATTTAGTCAAACTATTTTAGATATTAGAATTTTTAAAGATAAAAACATTAACCCTTTCTTTTTTTTTTTTTTTAGAAAAATCGCAAGTCAATTCCTTGTTATTGGGAGACACAACCTGGAGGATGTAGGAAACCACATTGTCCATTTATGCATGCGACTCCACGCAATATTACCAATGATCCTATCAATCCTGTGAAGACCACAGAAGTAGCAACAAAATCTCCTAATCAAGAATGGCTCAACCGTCAAGGTAGATGTTTTTATATTGTCATAAAATAAATTTTTTAGATTGATGGTAATTAGTAGAACTCATCTATTTAGTTGCAACTTTGACTTGGAAAATTTTATTTAAAATTTGGATTGTTTCTATTTAAAAAGAAAAGAACCAAAACAATTTTTTAAATTTATTTATATTAATATTATTTTAGTTTATTTATTTAATACTATTTGCGAACTAAACAGAAAAAAATAAAATACTGCTTATTTCAAGTTAATTTTAGAATCATTTTTATATTCTATTTATCTTATCTTATATAAATGGGATAAGATAAAAATATATATATGAAAATGTATGGGATGAGATAATCAGATTATTAGTATGCATTTATGATAATAACTATCGTTGTATATGGACAAATACTTTTACGTTTTTTTATATCATAAAGATGACCCCAAGTATGACGGCAGCAGTACTACTGAGTCGGACCAAGGTAGAGGAAACAGCGAGGCTGGTAGTTTTATCGGTAGTCCCGCCGTTGATCCTCTCATCGTCAAATTTGAAGAAGGTATGAGGCTTTACTAGCCCCCCCGTCCATCTTTCAACGTACATTATCTTACGTCAGCTACTCTCTCTCTACCGCCTAGCTTGCAAACAAATATGAATCTCCCGAACGCGCTCGGTATCCCGAAGAACCTGACAATCCCTAACAATCCTAACAGTCTCAACATCCCCGGTAGCATCAGCGTCACAAATAACCTAAACGTTCCACCGCCAACCAATTCGCAATCCTCTCCCTGTCATCACACGCTGTCATATCCGCATCATCAACAAAATTTACACTCTCACTCCCCTGGGCAGTCTCTGTCGTCATTGCAAAATCAACAGAACTCCCCGCTCCTCCAGCAATCGCCGTACACGTCGATACATACGCAGCAAACCCCACAACCTCAGACCTCCCGATTTCCTTTTCCATTTCTCGGTATAACGTCGTATAGAAGATTTTAAAATCGACGAAAACTGTGTTGTAGTCTTTGCCACGACATATGTATAATTTTCTTCGTTCGTCAACTAGTAACAGAAAAATACTTTCGAAGAATTCATGAACATTTAAAATTTTTCAAGTTTTCGATGATTAAGTTATTACATCGATTGTGTGTTATTGATTCTCTGGCATAACGAATATAGTTTAGGTGATTAAACACATTTGGTGTAAGAAATGATGAATTACTACGAAAGTATCATTCTGCATGAAGAATAATATATGTATATCTTTCTAGCAGCGAAAGATACATAACGGAAGAATCTTGTGTCGATTTTAACATAATATTTAATTCACGACGTTAGGTCCTACCCATATACACAGTACATTCCCAATATTTAATCGACTTTTACCTTTGAATTTGTTTCGTAAAATGGATCGATCTAATGAGATGCAACTAATGCAAAAAAAAAAAAAAAGAAAGCATTTATACCATTATGTCATATTAAATTGCAGAGATCATATAATTTTATTAAGGATTCTATTACATTGGTTGCTCTTATTGTGGCGATTGTTTATGTTTGTGCGACTTACCATATACAAGAGCTTATTTATTCGTTTATTCGATATTTGTTTGTTATCATGGGAAAGAGATATATAACATACAATATATCTACATAGATCGAATTCACATTTAAAGAATTGGCACTTATTGGTAATCATAATATGATCATCGAAGTACAATTGCCCAATCGTATTAATCGATCTTATTGATAAATCTAGCACTCGTGTTACCACGATAAATTTAGTAGTAAATATCGATTTTTACAGGGGCTGCTATATCTAAACTTTGCCTAAATTAGCCCTCTAACCGCCTATGGCTATCTTTCTCCAGCTGCGGTGCAATCGGGCTCGAATTAGCAGAATGGTCTAACTTAAGAAAAACGAGGTTCAAGTATCTTCGTCAATGCATCACATGCTGTAAGATCGCGAAAGCGAGAACCGTGCTAAACGAAGAAGAAGATAGCTATGGGTCGTCGCTTTACCACACACATGCACATATATGCACACAGACATACACAATTTTTTTATATTCATAGAGATCTTACTCTTAGTTGCGGAAAGCTGGCATTTCAATGTTAATCGGGTATTTGTAATACGACGAACGAGTCTTGCTCGTTTTAGGTTTGCGTCTTTGACGAGAGAGTGTTTGGCTAGTATTTAGAAAGTTTATTTTAAATATCGCTCCGCGCCCCACCCTCTTCTTTCGGATGTGCGGACTTGCATTACATCTCTTGCGTGGCCGATTGAAGAAATATTATATGTAGCATATATTCGGGTTAACCGATATGTACATCTTATTGAAAAAAAAAAAAGGAAAAAAAGAAACCTACGGATATTGTTCTATCGGTCACGTCTTGAGCTGAAATAAGTGCAATGGCGAATAATAGGAAATAATTGAGATATTTATGTCCAAACCGATAAGCGCGCGAGCATATATGCTTTCTTTGATGTCACGTACTTTATTATTATACGTGAAATGCGTGATGTAGAAGAAGAAGGAAGAGAAAACTAGCGAGAGAAAGAAAATGAGAGAGAGAGAGTGTGTGTGTGTGTGTGTGTGTGTGCGCGCGCGCGCGCGCGCGTGCGTGCGTGCGTGCGTGCGTGCGTGCGTGCGTGCGTGCGTGCGTGCGTGCGTGCGTGCGTGCGTGCGTGCGTGCGTGCGTGCGTGCGTGCGTGCGTGCGTGCGTGCGTGCGTGCGTGCGTGCGTGCGTGCGTGCGTGCGTGCGTGCGTGCGTGCGTGCGTGCGTGCGTGCGTGCGTGCGTGCGTGCGTGCGTGCGTGCGTGCGTGCGTGCGTGCGTGCGTGTGTGTGTGTGTGTGTGTGTGAGAGAGAAAGAGAGAGAGAGAGAGAGATATGAAAAAACAGAGAGAGAGATGAATGAATGAATGAATGATTGATTGATTGATTGATTGACTAGAGAAAGGGGTAGAGAAGAGAAAGAAGGAGAAAGAGAGATTTATATAAAGTAATATTCGCGCGCGAATCCGTGTTTAAAGATTTAGACAGATTCCAATCGCGTCCTTACCTTGTGTTTTACGCGTGCACGAATAATAATGCCTTCATATGTTTTGGCTTCTCACGTGAATTTGAGAATTTCAGGACGGCGAAATGGAAATAACGTGATATTGCGCTTCACACGGAGCTTGCGCCGGATGATAATTACGCAAATTTTCGCAGGCCACAATAATCTCGATGTTGTATCTTTACAACAAGGGCAATTGAAAGAAAAATGAAAAAAAAATTGATAAAGTATAGATTTAAAACGTAAGTCAAGCGTGATCTTTTAACGCTCTAAAGAGCACGTTTAACAATTCGGCTTAGAAGCTTGCTTTCTACGTGATAATGTTAAACGCCGATGTCGTTTATTATATATCGAATAAAAGAATACGCGATCGCCAAGAGAATATTACATATTATACTGATTCACTTTTTACGAGATTCCGTATGATAATAGAGGATATAGTGACCCTTAATTGAGACGTTGAGAACGAAAATTGAGGTACGTGACACATTTTGAAAAAATTCTTCTAGTTAAATATCGATAATCGTGTAGCGAAGAGTTTCACACAATTTAAACTTAGCTTTTATTTTCAACAACAAACGTAATTCTTTTGTTTTCAGCGCCTCAATTTTTCTGATATATCGCACGTTTGATCTTGCTGGCTCGTTGGGGGCGGGAGGGGGTCAGCAGAAAAATTAAAAGAGAAATTCATATTTATTAAATAATTTATCAAATTATTAATCTTGCACCGATGGAAAATTTTATAATTAGGGAAAGTATATATATATATAAGATACGCTGGTCTTTTACAATAGTAATAAGTCGCATCACAGCTGAACGAAAAACGGAGGGAAGAACGTAAGGGGACATCGAGGAGAAATAACATAAATCATTTAAGAAGACTCTGCCAGTTTTTCTCAAGTTTCTGATAGCGAACTTTTTTTTTCGAGTCAACGGTGCATATGATAACTTGATAGACTAAATAATATAGGAGGCAAAGCGTTCTATCATTATAAAACACACACACGGCGAAAAAAGGAAGGAAGTTATAAAATTTTATGAGGAAGTTATTGAAATAATTGAGTTGGGTGAGCATGTAATAGAAAGAAAGAGAGAGAGAGAGAGAGAGAGAGAGAGAGAGAAAGAAAGAAAGAAAGAGAAAGCGAGACTGAAAGGAGAAAGAAAGACCTCAAATTGATAGATTGAATGCATACACATCACATATACACGTATTTTTGCGTGAAAAATACGCGATGCAAAATAGAAAACTAATAATTTTTCTTATACAGCGATATGTTTTACACGCATATATATTATATTTAACTATATATTATAGGGAATTATATATTTTGTTTTAGTAGGTCGAGATTATTGTTGATATAAGGGACTGTCGCATAATTTTTTTTTGTTTTTTTTTTTTTTTTTTTTTTTTTTTTTGTAGTCTAGAGAAAATGCATATCGTCGTATAACTTTCGACGATGTTTGCAAAATTGTAAATAGAAAAAACACAAGAAATAGAATAAAAAATGCAGAATTTCGGTAATACCAATGATGTGATTCCGCCAATGGTTGTTTCACGAGTATTTCAGTATCACATGTATTTCTAGGAGCTTTCACTCGACATTTTCATCGTGAAAACGATGACTGGAAATCTCTCTGCTCTTCTCTATTAAGTGTAATGGTTATAACATACCATAGCGCGAAATCATAGCTACAGTTTCTAGCGATTGTCGGTTGTAATATTATTCATGGTTTTCATAAAATCAAATGCAAATTTCTGTTATATTGATATCTTTCTTTGCGGTTTTTTAAGCAAATCGAATATCATTTCGTTTTTTTTTTTTTTTTTTTGTTTTGTTTTGGAATACTCGTGTATTGACTTTTACTCACGGTTTTCCGCGCAAAATTTTGCGCGTGTATTTCGATCGGCGAGAATTTTGTGCTTTCAACCGTACAGAATCGCCAGTCCGTTTTATGTTCGCGTAATTCCAGTCATGTTTTTTTTTTCTTATGTACGAGATATGTTTTAACAGGCAAATTAAAATAAACGCCAATTTTAGCCGATCATCCGGATAGATTTGCACGGTGGATTTCCCTCTTTAAAACGGGGAATGACGCGCAGGTCTTCCAAGAAAGGAGCGAGTTCGATCGAATTCGATCGCGACGCGCACCCGGATCTATAAAATCTATGTGCAAAAAAAAAAAAAAAATGAAACGTACAGAAATATAAAATATGATTGTGCGCGTGAGTTTGAAAGGCAAAAGAGTTTAGTAGCGAGTGTTATATGAAAAAATGCGAGGATGACTATCGAAGAAAAAAGAGAGAAAGAGAGAGAGAGAGAGAAGGAGAGAATGTATCTGATAAATAGTGTGCTTGTGAACGAGATGATACGAGAGATATATAAGTATGAAAAATAAGGACCTGCAGCGGCGGGTTCTGCCACTGCCCTTCGACGAAGGGCCTTTATCTGTGCGAATAGAGTCTCGAAGGACGAAGCGATCCACGCATGTGTGAGATCGTGGGTTTTCCTCTCTCTTATATTTAACATCTATCCACAAATATTAACTATATCGAAAGCTAAAAGCTATCGACAGGATCGAAGGATCCTGCAGGTCTACTCCGTAACTTTTAATGCATGCATTATAGCTATAACGTATTTTTTTCACATAGGTACGAGTCCTGTAACGCGTGCATTGTAATTATAATGCGGGCGTTTAAAGGTGCAGAATAGGCCTGCTGATCGCGATGACGATGACACCGCGAGCCGATAGATTATTTCTTCTGCTCGTTAGCGAGTCGTTATATCGTCTGCGTCGATCATTACGGTCTCATTGACTGTAAATTTATTATAGGCGATCGTGCGAGCCATGGGCGATGCTCGTTGTCTCACTCGGATGCGACTCGGAGGCGAGACAGATGTGTCTCCCTTTCATCGAGATAAAATTCGACGAGCTGTAGATCTTTACGGAGAGTATGCGTTTCTCTCTCGGTTGCGATTAAATCGGCGATTTATGCAGGATGTTCGATGGATATCGTCAACAATCGTATTGTAAATCTAAGTTTCGAGAGACAGCGAGTATACGCGATGTTTTCTTTACATCGCCATGGCCTGTGACTCATTTAACTTATCGCGTGTGCGTATGCGTGTGCGCGAGCGCGCGCTTGAAAAAGCGCGTCTCTCTATAAGCGTAAGTTGAAAGACAAAAGATAGAGAGAGTGTGTGTGTGAAAGCACAGAGAATATTATATATATACATATATATATATATATATGTATATATGTATATATTATGTACTATATATATGTTACACGAGAAAAAAGGAGGCGATTGCGTACAACGCGATTCTCGCCCCTCGATCTTCGTTTTGTGTAAGATCATTGTTTATAGCAATTTGTTAATTTGATTTTTTTTTGTCTGCATTTCCTCCTCCTTGTGATTTTAGAGAATGCAAAGAAGCAATGATTGTTATCATCATTGTATATGTGTCTCGCGATTACTGCGCTATCGACGCTTTTGTGATGAGAAGGCATTGCTCTTTTTTTTTCAAGGATTATAAATTGTATGACGATCTGTCAGAGTGTCACGCGAAATGCAGACTCGTCGGTGCGCGAGTAATCGCGAGAACAGCATAATATCAGAGCGAACCGACAATAGTTTTTCGATCGCTCTTCTCCGACTCTTTGATTTCGTTCCCCTGACTCGCGCTCGAGTCTCTCACCGATAAATCTCAACGACTGTCTCCGATTATATACTTCATATCTTTTTACCCGTGTTTTCTCTGACTTCCTTCGACTCGCGATATCGTACCTTTCGTCGTTATAATGCGTTTGAATCGAGTCGCGAGTGATTTTTTACGGCCGTACGCGCGACCGGAGCCCTGTTTCTCTAACGTTCTCTCTCGTTATTTCATCGGTTTTTCTCTCTTGTAGTTTATCTTTTTCTACCCATTTTGGCCTCGGTCGCGTGGCGATCACACTTTAAATTCGTTGAAGTAACGGTCGACGTAACGATTCGAAGACGTAACAAGTCGAGCCCGCGAATGCGCTTCCCTGCGATCGGGATCTGTCTCGTGGACGAGAAACAGACGTCCGCAGCGCGGACGAGACTCTCGAAAGCTCGCCCAAGATGCTCGGAATCCCTGAAAACGGGATTGAGATCATGGCGATGAAGAATGACAACATCCGCGATCGTTCTTATGTCGACTCGTTATGGCGATGCAGAAACGCGTTCGTTCTGCTTCTCTTATCTCGAACGCGAACGATAGAGAAGAAATAAAAAAAAAAAAAAAAAAAGAAAAAAAAAAAAAAAAAAAAAAAAAAAGAAAAAAAAAAAAAAAAAAAAAAAAAAAGAAAAAAAAAAAAAAAAAAAAAAAAAAAGAAAAAAAAAAAAAAAAAAAAAAAAAAAGAAAAAAAAAAAAAAAAAAAAAAAAAAAGAAAAAAAAAAAAAAAAAAAAAAAAAAAGAAAAGTAAATAAACAAAAAAAAAACGAAAGAGCCTTTTTTCTCAGCCGATCACGGCTGCGGATATGTGGATGGAAGAGGAGAAAGATTGATTGATGCTAAAGAATAAGCGATGCGCAATTTAACTATAACGAATTGATGTAAGCGAATGGAAAAATCAATACTTTTCATTGAGATGATATCTGGATTTCAATAAACTTGATACCTCGAAAACCATCCGGACAATCGACCCGGAGAGCGAGCATATGACCGGTAACTGTATGGTGACAATTTTTTGACAAATGTCGCCAGCATTATCGGCGATGCTCTTCTCGATGGGGTTTCTTTCTATTTCACTTCTTTCCGATTCCATTAACCGTAATTTCATTCATCTTCCGATTATTTTGAAAGAAATATTACTTTTGTTACTTTAAAAATTTATAATTTTTGCGGTCACGACGATCTAGTGAAGATTTCTCCGACTTTGTGTATTATTTTTTTTAGATTGACTATGAATCGAGAGAAGTGTTATATAAATTGTTGTACAAGTAAGTATTGTGCTCGAAGTGCGAATTAAAATGTGCCGACAATAAGAAGTATTTCCGTTTTGCACAACTTCGAACCCGGCAGCGCAAAAGAGAGATCTGCGGAGAGAAACCAATTTTAAACTGATAGAGATAAGAGAGGAAAATTGCGTCTCTTGAAAGAAATGTATGTATGACGAGAGAGAAAGAGAGAGAAGTGGAATTTTTCTTGACTATGTTAAGAAATTTTTATTGTATAAATTAAAACTTGATTTAACGATCAAGTGTTAGTCAAGAAATGTGCGAAGGGAAGGATATAAATAAAAAGATGAGAAGACGAATTCGAAGTTAAGATCTAAGTTTAAAATCGTAAGACCAGAAAAAAAGATCGAGATAATGAGAAGAGAATTCGCTTAGAGATATCATGATTTCAAGGACAGGAAAGGAGATGTCGATGATGAAAACTATCAAATCCTATCCAGATTTTCCTACCACAGAGCGCGCGAAACACGGGATTAAAATTTACAATATAAAAGAGAGTATTTAAAAAAAAACATTGCGATTGATTACAAAGAAAAATTCGAGGAAGAGAGACACACAATATATAGATTCTCGATCGTTCTAATTTTTGATTATATAAAGTAAGATTAAGTCCACAATTTCTGATAATGACGGATGAGAGATAGATTACCGAAACTGTAATCGGCAGATAATCGAGTGCTTTATCATCTAGAGAGAGAGAGAGCTGATTATATCTAATATAAACGGCCATCAACACAAGTGATGCCTTCTTCGAATAATCCAGACGATTATTTGATCCATCGTTCTTCGTATGTTTCTTCCAGAATCCGATAATGAAAGTGCACCGTCACCGGTAAAATCGCAACCCAAGGTACCGTACTGCAAGACCTACGAACAGATGAGACTAGAGGAGATCCAAGCGGAGAGCGCGGCATATTATTCGTACGAGGCTGGAAACGATGCCGGACTTTTCTGCAATCAAGCGGATATTGGCAAGGCTAAGAGGATCGGCGCTACTCGATGGGTGAATTCCCCCAAGATAGAAGAACCGGTAAAGAAGCTAGACTTTAAAGTGTTGAGTCTGGAGGAGATCCGACGACGAAAGAAGGAGAGAGAGCTGGCCGCTAAAGCTTCGACGAACGCGCCGGAGCCTTCGTCGCCGATCGAAACGACGAGAAGCGTGAAGAAGCGTTCGATCGAGCAGTGCGATGAGGAGAGCTCGGTTAGTCCGGCAAAGAAGCGCAGGGTCAGCTCCGAGTTCGTCAAGAGTGGCGAACCCGCCATCAAGATACCACCTATAAAACTGCGAAGGTCTCTGAAAAGCGCTATTACAAAGGATACCCAGACAAAATCGTGCAAAGATCCAGCCGGAACGGTGGATGGTCAGGGTGCTGAAATATCGTGTCGCGAGAGGCTGGAGAGCCATAGCGACGAATCGACTAATGCGAACAGGAGAAGCGAGGTGGAGGTCAGACTGTGCGACAGCAGTACAGACGAGGAGAAAATTCAAACGCAACCGGAACAAGCGACGGATGACAGGAAATCGGTCGCCACGTACACGACGGAGGATATCATGAGTAGCGCGCTATTGGCCGGTGGTCGATCGTACGCGAATACCGAAGATGAGTACCTGAGAATAGATGCATCGTCCGATGATATTATGAGAGATATCGAAGACTTGCTCAAGTAGAAAAACTGCGATTTAAGCGACTTTAAACGAATCTATGCGTAAGTAGAGATACTGAGTCTTATACTCTGCGCCCTTTTTCTCCAAGGTTCAAAAATGTCTTAAAAAATTTTATATAAAAATAACATCTATTCTTTTTTTTAATATTTGGATGGATATAAATAAATAGCTTAATTAAAAAAGAAGGATCATATCGTTACGATCTTTAGACAATTATAATATTTAATCAATCGTTGATAGTTCCATTTTACGCTTCAGCTTCAGTAAATTATGTTACGTCTTAATCTTATTATTCCGAATTGAAAATGGCGCATTAATTTTAGCATGCACATAAATCAGCATTTCTCTTATATCTGACTTCAGTCATATCCCTTTTTTATCTTGTTATGAAATTCTCGTGAAAAATTCGAATCAATAATAATAAATATGATATTCCAAATGTGCAGTGTATAAACATTACTTAGAGATGTGCATGAAAGTTAAATTAAAATATAGTAATCGGATTGATACGGAATGATATATCGTTGCACATTTTGAAATTTTGAAATGAATAATAAATTTTTCGAAATACACGCATAATAATAAAAGAGAGTAAATTCTATACTTCGAAGTCTTTAATACTTACTTTAATCGATATCATATATGCCTTTAATGTTAAGACTCTTGATCCCTTATTAACGTCATATATTGAATTAGGATGTCAGAAATCGTGTGAATTATTTTCTTGCGAAATATTAGAATTGTCGAAATAAATCAGTTTTTTTTTTTCAATTTGTCATCATTCGTGATAATATAAATCAGTAAAATATATCGAAAATTATCTTTTTGATTTGTTAAATTAATTAATAAATAGCTGCAAATCCTAATCAGTTGTCCATTTAAAAATCTAAATTAATCTTAATCATTTGTCCACAAGGGCCCATTTGTTGGAAATAGGATTGCAATATAAATTATATATACATTTATTTATAAAAAAAGTGCTTTCGGTATATCTTACCGCTCTACTGAACGGATGATAACATATGAGTAAAACTAATCTATTTTGACATATTCCATAAAAAAAATATTCACGATTTTTTACTTCATAATTCAGTATGACTACAGGAAATGGGAGCCTTAAAGACTTAGGCTATATATTGAATGTATCTATTATATATTATTATTTTTAAAACCTGTAAACATTTTGTTTTTTTACCAAATTATGCGATAACTATAATAATGTTATAGTTATATAGAATTGTATGATAATATTATATATATATATATACACACTGTTGCAATTTTTTAATAAATGTCCGCTGGGCTTTATATAACTCTGGTATTACTTCTCTTACTATTCAATAATCCGTTAATATATCACAAAAGTATAACTTCTTAAGTAAGCCTAAAGAAAGAATTAAATATGGACTTTTATAATTTATGCACATTTTTATAATGTTGTTATCGATTTTAATAATTAATTGATTATAATCAAAGCACAATGTTGTCATATCAGTGCTAATTTAGTCTTACCCATGAGAGTTTCTTTTTTTGCATTCGCAGAAATAATCCAGGGTTAATCGCGCCAGCAGATCTATATCGCAATTGATAATTTCTAATGAGGATTTAGGAAATACAACATGTCTTCGAATGTAAATTAATTATTAAGTCGAAATAAATATACAATTGTTACATTTGCAAGGTAAAACGATGGTCTCTTTCTGCTTGCACACATTCCGCTTTCCTTTATTTTTTTATAATTGGTTCAATTGTTTCGATTTGGACGATAATACCAGGAGGGATCGTTGATATCTTTATTGATTATCGATTATGCTAAGAGGATTAACGAAACGGCATTGAGATACATATGAATTATCGAATCGAGATGAACACGTTCGGGAAGGAGTTGCGCTTGATTTCTAATAGGAAATCGCACGATCGTTACTTATCTTGATCAATTGATATCCAGTATTAAACACATGGTTGCTTCACACTCTCTGCAATTAATATTTGATATAGCAAGGACGAATGTATACGCTAGGATCTCGCAAACGGATTCTCCGATTAGAAAACAAGCATCGAGAGAACTCTCGATTAAATGTACACACTATTTATTTAGAATGCATAATCGTACGCTTAACATATCTGGCCTAAGGGAAATCACAATCGGCATTTTCGGTTCTTCTTTTTTTCTCTCTTTCTCTCTCTCCCTCTCTCACGAACCTTGCACCGGATATAATTTACGAATTGATTTTATCAAGTGTATTTAGAGAATTATAGAGTCAACTATGTATATATTTATATATAAATGACTGGATCGAGATATTCTTACGATGTACACACAACAAACTCACGTTTATTATCTCCTGACTCTCTCCGCTCTGTTTTATACGAGTATAAATAATAACATAATACCGACTTAGAAACTATTTTTATTTCCCTTTCTCTCGCCTACAAGAATTACATCTACGAAACGTTGCGAATAAAAACAGCGAGAATTCTCGAGAGCGATTTTCTTTCTTTTCCCTCTTCGATTTTCACGCTAATTATTTTTACACGAGTTGCACATTGCCGATGATTTATTTCTTTTTTTTTTTTCACCGCGTCTCACCTTGCCCGATTCTATTTCAAAGATATTGGAAGTATAATCGTATACGAATAAAATGAAGCTGTGTAATTATAAAAGTGTGCATGTACGTGGATGTATATTTTGGAAGATTTTTCCATATAACACCTTGCCGATCATTGATATTGTGATATATCATATAAAAAAAATTATCACTTGATTGACATATTTCTTACAAAGATCACGTGTTCTTACGAGTCATTGGATTTTGATAAAGCGTCTCGAAATAAATATCTCTTTGCGTGTACATTACGACACTAACATTGTTAGTGAAAGTGCGAAAAAGCAGCATTATTATTTGTCTAAAAATAATAAAGGGACTTGATCGGAAAGATGTTAATCGTAAGTGTAAATATTAATTTTTAATACAGGATATTAGGAATTTAATTTTAACGATGAATAAGATTCACACCATCATACACAGAAATTGATTGATCCGCCTATTGTAACCCAATTCGGCATGTGTCACATTTGTATTGCAATTATACAATTACTACATCGATTTTTATCATCAATACATAAACAGATTCGATCAGAATCATTTAGTTAAAAATTTAGTTCATCGTCTTCGACGAATAGATAGAATCGGATTCTTTTGTGCCACGGATGATTTTCTCACGCAAGTAAACGTCAGCGAATTCACGGACAATGTTGTCTCTTCGGTCAAAGTTTCTGTGTGTGAAATGATGTTCATGACGCATTCATTGCCTTACAGAAACGGAAGCAGCGGACGCGAACACGGACAAATCAAACTCGTTTCCATGCAGAGCTTTGGCTTAAACGAAACGCACGGGTATGATAGATCACTTTGATTTTTGTTACGAGATAGAGTCGCACGCACAAACAATCAACATCATAAAGTGCGGAGACTTCGCGCCACAATCAAGCGTAACCGTGTGTGCCGTTCTTTTTCGGTAACATAAACTAGATAGACGAAGAAGCTCAAGTCTACGGAGACGAGGTCGACGTCGACGACCACCACGGTCACTGCAGCCTCGGTGACCAATATTGCGCCGCCATGTCGGGCGCCGGTTGACCTGGTACCGCGATCGGTACACTCACGCCAGGCGATATTAGACCTGTAAGAGAATCCATTATGGCATTCTAATAAATTTCATGGATATAAAATACTTTGCATGCATAGAAATTATGTGCAAATTCTCTTGCTAATGCTAATTCTCTCGATAAAAATTTAGATTATAATTTCGTAGCTGATTTAACACAGACATAATATATGAAGTTATTAATAAATGTTAGTAATGAAGAGAGATAAAAGAAAGACCAGAGATAGTAACCAGAGCATTTATATGAAAGTCTCGATTTATTTTTCGAGATACTGTGTGTGTGTGTGTGTGTGTGTGTGTGTATTGTTTTATCTATGTGTATCCGTCAAAATATTATTTTATCATCTCATCATCCTTAAGAGGTGTGTAATAACACACAAAATCAGATCACAGGTGGATCTGACAGTAGCAATATATAGCAATGACAGTATAAATACATACATTTTATTGTATCTTTTAATGATAAAACTAATCTGTTTTTAAGACACGCACAGTCTTGTACAACGCGTTTTGCTCTGCCAACATAAATTACACATCACTCTACTAACACCTACAATCCATTAACTAGAAATAAGAAGCGCTCAGGCAGTTAATGTTAGGCGATGCAGGCGAGTAGCTTTACGGACACCCCTCGATCGCATTTACTGATATAATGAGATGGGGAAATCTCTCACGAGATCGTTCGATCGCGCGAATGGGGATACTTTGAGGGGCACCAAAGGGGCAGGGGAAGACAGAAGCGTGTATAATCCATTACCGGCGGGCTCGATAGCGTGTTATCCATGGTAGCCGTAGTAGTAGTCCATCGGCTAGAGTGCAAGCAGCGAATGCAGTGAGTGCGGTAGACACTCACCGGTCGAGCTGGCGTTCTGATTGTACTGATTGAGGCCCGCCGCGTGATAGGGCTGCGTGGGGCTGCAAGTGGGCCTGGCGCCGTAGCCTAGATGAAGGGGCTCGTAGCTCGGCGGTCTCGCGACCCCGCACGAGTAGCCGTTGTCCCGTTGCTGGAGGCACGCGCCGGGACTCGGTCCGACAGTCATACCCACGGTCATGCCCATCGGGCTCATACCACCCCCGGTGGACAGCGAGGACATGCTGCTCGTCGTGTGCTGGTTCTGCTGACTGGCACCCATCGTGAAGCTCGGCATCGACGTCATTGGGCTGTAATGCCAAAAAGGAATGACATGACGCGATGCATCAACGCGATCGTTTCCTCTTTTACTGTAAAATGTGAAAACTTTTCTTAGTCACGTATATTTCGATATCACTTTACCGAAATAGTATCACTATTAAGCACTTTGAGAATGAAAAATGTGAATTAAATCTTTGAGAAAAGGAATTTTATTATGTGACAAAATATTTATTTTATTATCATATTATCATTCATTACTTTATATTATATTATATTATGTGTCTCTTTTATAGAGATAAAGTGAAATAGATTATAAAATTAACCATCAGATATAAAAATGGGTAATATAGTATTTGAAATAAATACGTATTTATTTTGACATTTTTCTAATTTTACATTACGTAATTATGTTGTTTATATATGAGGTAATATTTGAAATAATACAAAAGAGAGATTATATATTTTTTATATATTATTTGAAAGGGTCAATGTAAGAGTGTGTATATATATCCAAAAACTTCAAATATATATTTCAAATAAATAATTTTAATATGTTTGTACCCTCGTAAAAAAATTAATGCTTGAATATTTTATCTAACAAAAACATAATATTTTTTAATCTTTCCATATTTAAAATATGTCCACCATTAAATAACTGATTTTATCGTAGAGTCAATCATCGATTTAATATCTCAATTTTGGACAATTTAACCTCGGTGAAAACTTTTTCGCGTTTTATTCTCACCTGTATGAGTCGGGCATACTGGGTATTCCGGGATATACGGCGGTGGGCGCGAATCCGTGGTGTATTCTGGGGGGCGAGGGTGGTGCCTGCGGTGGCGGCTGGCCTCCGAGTATCCCCGAGGGTGGTGGCGGCGTCGGGTGACCAGCACCCACCAGACTAACCCCGGCAGTGTGTTGCTGTTGCTGTTGCTGCTGCTGTTGCTGCTGCTGCGGTGGCGGATTATCCCTCCGTTGTGTGCGTAATTTCTCCTCGCGCCGCCACTTTGCCCGCCGATTCGAAAACCAGACCTGAGTTAGTGAACGAGAAGACAGACGAAGATACAGGTCAATCGCTAGACTACGGATAACTTTCGTATCGGTTGACAATCGTGGACGAAACGGTTCATTAAGAAAACCCGTTACTCCTTGCGAAGATCTATTATAAATTATAGCATCGAATCTATGTTCATCTTTCAAGATAATTTTTTTATTGATCATTACGATCATCAATCTTGGTGTGATTTGTGATAAAATAATAGACCTGTATATGTGTGTATAAAAAATAATATCGTAAGACCATATAATGCTATTTATGATAAAAATGACGAAAACATTGATATAAAGTTATAATTTTAGAAATACCTAACGAATACCGTTTTCTTTCAGAAACTGCCAACCACTCTTCTTACAGCCACAAGTATGAAGTCAATATGTTCAAGAATTAAAAGGTACAGCAAACTTTCATACAACATGTCCCGAGAAATATATAATTATCAATGAAATATATATAAAAATTCACCATGTCTTATAATTCGTGAACGATGAGTAGCCTGACTTAAGATCAAATGTGTTAATTGAAACCTTGACATAGATAGGGAAACACGAGATAATCTTCTGATAAAAAAAAAAAAATTCCCATTTGTTATTTCAATAATACGTTAATGGATATCCTCTATTTAATATTCTCTCACGATAACTGCTAATTTTTCAAAGGAAAAAGCATCGTGCTGTTATTTATTTGACGATCTCAATTATTCTACTTGTCATGCAAGTATATCGGCTCACGTTGCGCCGAATAGTCACCTGTATTCGCGCCTCCGGTAGGCCGATCTTGCCGGCGAGTCTCTCCCTGGCGAACACGTCCGGATAGTGCGTTCTCTCGAACTCCTTCTCGAGCGCGTCGATTTGCTCGTTGCTGAAACTCGTGCGATTCCTCTGCAGCTTCCTCTTCAGGCGTAGACGCGCCTGGTCGTCATCGGCGCCGCCTGACACGCTGCCGGCGTTACTGTTGTCACCCCCGCTGTTCGTCTCGTCAGAATGCGCGCCACCCTCGAGTTCGGTTACTGTAATGATAAAACGTATCGCACACCGTTATCAACGTCTGTCGCACGCAAAAGCTACTACGATCAACTGCTCTTCATATTTTATGTGAATTAAATATAATATGAATTGAATATGTAATATGAATAGTTTTCGTATTAAAAGAATATCTTGCTAATTAACTTTCTATCAGATAATAGATAATTTGATAATAGAATTCTATTATTTAATCCTTTCACGGGCCAATTTTTTTGCAAATTTTGTCAAGGTAATTTAAATATATCTCCAAGAGTTTTAAAAATACATCCAACAATTTTAAATCAATGTATTAAATATTTCCTTCATATATTTTTGACTTATCAAGCTTTAATCTGAGTTGTCAAATGTGATAATTTTTAAAAGAATTAATTTTTATAAGAGTTAATTGCAACAATTGATGAATCTAGCTTTTAGCTTATAATTTGAAAAGGAAAAATTCAGTTCGAACTCAAAGAAATTTGTATTGACATTAAAACCCATTACTCAAAAAAAATTACACAATTAGATAATATATAATAATTTTTGTCAAAATATCGATAAAGACTATCTTTTTTAAATCTACTTGCGAGCAAGTAGTTTTTCAGGAATCGTTCTCGGTTGTAACGGCGGAGGAAATCGGCGATGTATTATCAATGTCAGGTTGCGTGATAACGTGTGGCACACGATTTGGGGTTTCGTTTACTCTCCTCCCCCCTTCCCCCTCTCTCCCTCTAGTTTTCTTATATCAATACTTACGTGTGTTATATGCGCTCGCGTCTTTGTACGTGTATCTATTCGTGTGTATGTATGTATACGTGTGGACGCGCGTATGTGAAGGAAAACGAGCGATATAGGCAAGCGTCGCCGGGTGAACCTTATCGTCGGTTTCTGGGTGAGCGCGTCGAGGCGTCACCGGGTTTGCTTCGACGACGATGAGGGGAACGGTGCGGAGACACAGGGTAGAGCGAGAAGAGGACGATGAAGGAGAACGCGCGGGGGATGAGGCTACAGGGTGCCCGATAAGACGACGGGCGTCCCGACGCCAGTCGCCGGCCACCCCCCTCACGAGATACGCCACTGTCATTTCGCGACTACCTCCTCTCCGTTGGAGAGGCTCGAGTCAGAATCTGGCTCGATGTGACACGCGACTTGTCGCTGTTATCGAAATTTAATTATATATTCTATGTAATTAAAGTTCTATGTTTTATATAATCTTAAATATTACTATAATTAGTAATAAAAAGTTACAATTTTTTAGTTTTCTGTTGATTGATTTTACTGTATTCGGAGATAGATAGAAACTAATATCTGTTTTATCAATCTTTTCTTATTACATGACATTTGACATAATATTTGAAATAATATAAGAAACAATATTTGAAATAATTTTTGCAAAAGTTTGAAAATTTTGAATACTAATTTGAATAAGAATTTTTGATATTTTGATTAGAACTATTATTACAGTTAATAATTTTAATCATTGCATTTTTCAAATAGATATTTCCTATATATTTGTATATAACACCTTCACATCTTCATCATCTTCATATTTATTTTAAAAATACATGTTTAAATACATGTTTTATTTAAATACGAAATACACAATATGTTTTCAATTATTTGCATTTGAAATGTGTCCACCACTGAGTATCTACTAATAGATTCTATTTAGATTATATTTTATATATATATATATGTATCATTATATCATTTGTGGCGATAAGGAATTACGTTAAAAGATATTTCAATGGTGATAGATAATATTTTATTTAGAAGGTATAAATGGCATTAGAGTTTCTCGATACATTATTGCTCTGTGAGATGAAAAACTAATAATGTTAAACAAGTAAAAAATCATAGATACTAGAAATAGCTGTTATCGTTGAAATCAGTGTAGATATCATGGAGAGATAATAATGATATCACATTTTCCATATATGACGTCAGATTACAAGCGCCAGCGGAACTCGGGGATAACGAAAACGTCTGTAATAATCGTCGTATAAGCGGCAAAATCCAGGCTACATCCCTCTCCCGGCTCACCCTTTCGTTCCCTCCCCCACGTGATTCGCTCGAGGAAGCTGGCAGACGGCCACGCTAGTAGCGGCAAAGTTCTCGCGGCTCGGTAGGGCTTGGTTGGTTGCCTCGAACTTTCCTCCCCCGCGTGTTGAGGAGAATCGAGTGCGACGTTAGCGTACAAGTTCTCCAGTCCTCGTCCCCTTTTCCATCCCCCTCCTTCTACGCCCTTCTTCTCATCCACCAGCCTCGGGTCGTTCCTTCGTAACCGTGTACTGCAAACGATATCTTTAGGGGCGGCCCTCCGTCAGTATCTACGGCGCGGGGGTAAACGTTACGAGGGTGTCTTAAGCGGTAATTAAAACCGCCTTATCCTCCTTCCCTTCCCTTCCATTCCCCACATTTCCTTTCTCCTCTCGTCTTTGCGAACCTTCCGGAACTTGAGGAGCAACTTTGGGCCTTCGCGGTTGCTCTCTCGTCTTTACTATCACGGCCGAATCGCGGCTGCTGCTCATCGTTTCTACGCGGTGTGCTCGCGAGTTTAACAGCGATGCGGAACTCGACGCTTTTGCGTCGAGTATTTAAGGAGGAGAGATTTGCCGTTGGAGCAAGTATAAGTTGGGGTGAATTGAGAAGGTAAATTGACAACCAAAAATTTTTACGCCGTTTTCATAATATTCCAAACATATTGGACGATCCCCGGTGATAATATACTGATTAAAGTATCAGTGAACTTTTTTAACATGCCACACACTATTAATATTTTAATTGTATATAATAAAACTTGCAAATCGAGAAAAGTTTTTGCTCATAAATTTAATATGTAGAATACATCCATAAATTGCAGAGGATATATACATTTTTGATTGATGATTTATATCTTTTTTTATTTCATTCCCTCTTTTTCGATACGTTCATGCATAAATTGTTGTCCCAAATCATTCTGTTTGCATATGAATGAATTAAAAAAACAAAAGACCGAACTTTAGAGATGCTAAAATGTCACAGCACTAGATATATTTATGCTACTTTATGCGATAGACGAATAAATATATTCCCTCTTTTTCATGCATAAATTGTTGTCCCAAATCATTCTGTTTGCATATGAATGAATTAAAAAAACAAAAGACCGAACTTTAGAGATGCTAGAGATGCTCAGCACTAGATATATTTATGCTACTTTATGCGATAGACGAATAAATATATATATAGGACCCGACGCTACGGGGACGTTATGTGCGCCCGCGAGCGTTCTGCATGTGTGTATTTCACGGATCCTTTTTCGACTTTTTGCGAAAAGGGTGCAACGTGCAGACGCCACCTGCCTTAGGAAGGTCGAGTCTTCCTCAGGATCACATTGACAAATGGTTCCTGCGTTTTGGCCGAATTTAATGGTGTTTAGAGTACAGCAATAACAAAAGAATATTATATTAAAATCTGATTTTGCAATCGGATCATTGGTATTCTAGATAATAACGCGGATTAAAAAAAAGTTGCACGCAAGTATATAATATGTAAATATAAAATCACTTATGTGCACGCGTGTTGTTGTCATTTATATAACTTCTTAGATATAGATTTAAATATAAATTTTGAAATCAGCACATTGTATGTTAAAGAATATAAAAATCAATAAATCTTTTGAAACACTGTAAGTGTTTAACTCTTTAATTTTAATCGAATTGGTATCCGTCGATGGGTTAACGCGGGTGACATTCGCGAATCACTGGTGAGGACGAACCGCAAAGAAGAGGGAATCTAATCGACTCGCGTCCGAAACTGTCGAGACCACACTCCGCAAGGATCGCCCCTTAAATTCTCGAAGGGTTGCGTGCGTTTAGACGTCCGATCGCGGCACCGTAATTTCCTGTCGTGCAATCGTTCGTTCCGAATCTTCAATTCGGTTCACGTGGACACCTCGCGATTGCTGAGCGAACGAGAGCAGAAACTTTCTACATTTCGTAGAAACCGATTGCACCCCGATATTTTAAAAGAAAAAAAAAAGGAAGTAGGAGTTTAACTGCGGAAATTATTGTAATGGAGTTTATGCCTCGGTAGAAAACGCACGAAAATGATAGATAATAATGACTCAATATACAATTGTATATAAATTTATTTGTCACCGACGATATGGGAACGAATGGTGTAAATTAAGAGAACATAAGCCGGAATCATCTTTATTTGTAGAAAAGTGGGCATAAATTTAAAGGAATGCTGGGGAGATTATCATTAATTTTTATTCATTTCTCTCACCCGTTATTCCTTCACCCGGCAACGACGTCATAAAGTCCGTAGTTGTTATCTCTCAAACATCGGAATCTACTCGAAGTCGTGTCATAAACTTAATAGAGGCACCGCCAAATGCGCATCGCAGGGCGAAACTCGATTCCGACCGAAAAGAAGAAGCGAACGAGCAAGCTTTCTACACGAAATAAAGAAAAGAAAGAGAAGAAGCCGTGGAAGAAATCGAAAGTCGTCACGAAAGTAACCGAGATCCGATCGCAAAATTAACTTAAAGACAAAAAGGTCTTTTTACGCATTGTTTAATCGTTTTCGTTTAACAAAATATAATTGTAAATTCATTTATAAAGAAAACTATTATTTAAAAAAATTAACAAACTATTTTAAATTTCGAATAATGATATGACATGATTTGTGGTTACATCTTTTGCAATTATTGGATATTTACAGATTTCAAGAACTGCTTTTTTCTTGAGATAAATTTATAAAAATAAAAATCATATATATATATATAAAGAGAGAGAGAGAGGGATGGAAAACTTTACAAGGCACAAATCTCCGTGCTAAAGAAGGTTCGGAAGGCAGGAGCTAAACGCGGGACCATTTTGCCCATGGAGGGGAATCCACGTCACCCAGGCAGCTTCTCGTTTCCCCCTGTCTCTCTTCGTTTCTGGCCCCAACCAGATCATTCGCATCTTCCTTCAACGAATTATCCACCAACCGGGGTTGCTGCGCGTTCGAGCGTGAT